GCAGGCAGTTGTTGTAGTGCCTAACTAAATTGAGAGGTTTTCCTCCTTTTCATAAGCTTTCTTAATCACGCGCGAGATTGTTCTAGCAATTTCTCAAAATCAAAAAGATATATTTATTTCTTAAATGTTAAATTCACGTGCTCTTCTATTTTCAATTTTTTCGGCTTAGCTTTCTTTTAATATTCGTCACGCGCTGTACTGCACGAGGAATAAAACAATTTTATTTATAATTAACTATTTAAATACCAACATTAACTATTTAAGTACCAAATCCGTAACACTATTGTTTAAATTCACGTACTTTGATTTGGATTTGTTTGGAAGTTTATTCTTCGCAAGGTCATTTTAATTAAATCAGATAACATTGCTAAAAATTGATTCTAAACTTTGTGCGCAGCTATAGTAAAGTGGTAAGGATACATGGTACTCATTAAATGAAAATCCATAACATTAGCGATGATACCATAGCCACATAAATTATTTTAGTGTTTGTTCATCAGATTCCCAACCATGTTAACAATATTTAACGAAACAGGAGACATAATTTAGAAATCAAAACTGTCATCTCATAAATAATAGATTTATTATCCATTAAGACCATTTCTTTAAACCAAATACATTTTCCTTCGTCTCACAAACATTACGAACGATACATTGATGCTTATATTATCCAAGGGAATTCTACATCTTCTTGATATTCTGTGGTATGGGCATATAAATCACATGATATTACAGCTAAGAGAATAACAAAATCGAAGTGTGTGTACTCCACATCTTTGTATATGATATATTGCAAATTTTCTTTTAGCTTTGCTTGAAAGGCGATGCATCAAAAAAGTTCTTTTCCTACTATCCAAACTCTCATATTTTACCTATTTCCGAACAAGCCCTTCTTGGATTCTTCTGCATTTTAAATAACGACACTTGGAAAAATATATCTGGGGATGAAGCAAACAGCAAAACATTTTTTAAGTGAGTTACCATCTTATCCGAAGTATCCTAAGGCGAAGAGGGAAAGAGACCATTCAGTTAGCATACTCGTGGCATCCATGTTGAAGTTTATGTCCCCGGCGGGGATGGCAACGCGCCATCCGCGATGTCAACGTGGAGCCATAAACGACTGACTTAGGACTTGGTTGCCGGATTCCGTCCGGCAGTTGCGCGCAGTTATCCATTTCCGAGTCGTAAAGCTCTAATGTTGGAATCGTAGAGAGCTGAGCTGAAAGTCAGGCGAGCTACTGCAATGAGGGTTTCCTATCGTTGCGGTAAAGGACTAATTGCGTACAGGCTTAAAGCGGTATCTGTAAGCAGAAGTAAATGTTTTAACAGTCTCATGTTGAAAATTACGGAACATGACTCAATTAAATGTGTGGAGCTTTAGGAGAAGACTTTTAACATCTAAGATGTGATTTCTTATTTTCTTCCTACGTAACTTACAATTAACTATTTAAATTTACCTGGGTCTAAATAAACGTAAAATAAATATTAAAAACAAGTGAATAGCGACAGAGAACCACATAATATTTAAAATAAAAAATACAAAATTAGTTTTTTGTTATTTCTACCAATGAGTAAAAACAGGCAAAAGTAAAGCACAAAACGTTGAACATGGGAGTGATTGGATACTTACGTATTAACGCCACCGCAGCAGAAGTTGCGTTAATGCGCCAATAAAGAGCAATCCTGTTTTTCGCACGCATTTATCTTTTGGATTCATTTTTGCCTTGTTGTTTGCTGATTTTTGACGCCACTTTTTAGTGATACGAAAATGAATGCGTTTTATTTTTTATTAGAAGATGCATTTTTATTTTTTCAGGAGCGAAATATTTTACCAAAAAAACGAAAATGTACCAATTCACATGATATGAAACTTTATTTTGGTAAACGCACGTTTTGGAAATGTAATTTAAGACAGTGGGACTTAGAAAAGAGAATTGGTTTGAAGGAAGCAGAATTCATATACTACTGGTGCGAGGTGTTGACGTAGATTAAATTTTGTGAAAAGCAACTTGATTTATCGAATAAAACTGCTACAGATTGGAACAATTACATGCGTGAATTATGTGCCTTGGATATGGAGAATAAACCAAACAAGATGGTAGGTGGACCAGATTGCATTGTGGAAATTGATGAAAGTTTGTTTACTAAGCATAAAAATAATTGTGGTCGAGTATTACCTGAACAGTGGGTGTTTGGTGGTTATATGTAGAGAAACAAAAGATTCGTTTGTTGTCACTGTTTCTAATAGAACTGGGTCTACCTTTCTTAATAAAATTATTGAAAACATTGCAGATGGTAGCACAAAAAATTTATTCTGACAGTTGGAAAGGTAGAAACAAATAGAATAGAAAAAGAAGGATTCCTATATGCAAAAGTTAATCATAAATACAATTTTATTGATCCTGGTACAGGCTTTCATACACAAACAGTTGATAGAATGTGGGGCAGTGCCAAATGGAGGAACAAGACACATAGGGGGACAACGAGACATCAGTTAGAATCTCATTTAGCAAAGTTCATATGGCGACAGCATCAGGTCAAAGAAAATAAAGACTGTTTTGAATCTATGTTAAACTCTATATCGGCCTATTTTCCACCGAAATCCGATTGATTACTTTTATTTTAAATAAAGTGTTTTTATTTTTGAAAGTGTTTTAATTTTAAATAAAGTGGTTTAATTTATGATTTGTAGCAAATATTTTAGGTATAGATTAGCGGCACTTAAAAACCGCCAAATCTGCAGCTGCGGTGCCGTTAATACCTAAGTACTGAGTGATTTTAGCAGTTACGTTATGAAAGTTTTAATTGCATTTATTACTTTACGAAATAAAACAGTATTACTTTACGATCATGAAAATTAGTTTAAACCCTTTTAGCTAAAACATTATTTATATAATTGGAGCTAAAGGTTTATATTTATTAAATAAATAAACATTCAAACCTTACAATATTTTTCATCTGTGTCGTTATTGTTGTTGTGTTGCTTAACAGCAATAGCATATAACAGAGCAGAAAAAAATTAGTTATAATAGTTGCATAAATGCTCTCTCTTATAAAATTTACCTCTAGTAAGTTTTTTCTTAATGTAGAAGTTAAGTATGAAATTGTTAGTTTCTCTTAAAACATAAACAACGCAGCTCTCCTAAATGTGAAATCCACTGTTAAAAGAGCACTTTCGTGTCAGTTCAGATTTGTGTAGTTCTATTTCAGTTATTTTTCAGACATATAGTGCACAAAACCAATTCGAACCCTTTAAACAACAAATAATTGCTTCGCCCCCAAATATTTTGTTATGTTATAACAGAAGTGCAATTTCTGAATGTAACAAATTCTCTTTGAAAATAATGCTTACATTTGAACATAATTGCTTTACATTTGTATAACTTACTTCTTAATAATTATTTTAGCTTTATTTGTATGACTTATCTGTTGTGTTTACTTTAAACTGCTTATACCAGAGACACAATAGTACTTCTGTTATTCCACAGAATATCGAAAAAAGGAAGCTAAAACACAACAGAGTAGAAATGTATAATTCTGGGATGATTCTACATCAAGAAAAATTAAAGTAACTCAACATCCTACCTTTAAACAGACAGTGAAAGCGAATTTAGTTTAACATAAATGGTAACGTAAACCGAATCGGTAAACCCAGATGTTTTCATTTTTCCCCCAATAAACTTCAGCCCTTTTTCTCGTCATGCAAAAGCATACGGATATTTTATAATATAAGCAAGAAAAGTGATTATATTCAAAATCCGAGTGCAATTATCTTCAAAGTAGTGGGCTTTTGGAATTTCTCTCTTGCAAATGTAATTTAAATGGCTTTTCTCATTGATGTATTGAGTCACTTAAAATATCCGCTTGTACTTATGAATTCTTAAGTAAATAATTTTACAGAAGAAAGAAAACATCAAAGGATTTAATAAGTATATAAAAATGTTTGCAGTGCATTCTAAGAATATACAAGTCAATTTCCCTTAGAATATATAGAAAACATCCCCTCCCCCCCCCTTGGCACAAAATCTTTCCATTCTTTGGGATTTTTGACTAAGCAAAAAACATTTTAAGGAATTTCTTCCATTAGGTAGAGAGTACTTCTTTTCCAATATTTAAGGTAAAACGTCCTCAAGTGTCTTTTGTCTAAGTCCTGGTTAAAAATTTGGCCATAATTACTGATACCTACATACTGGCCATAATATTACATTTTAAGAGATTTCAATAACTTTCAAAATCAAAATATTTAAATTACTTTTATTCTAAGCATGTTCAGAACTAACATTTTCATGAAAAAAATGATACATATAAAAATCAACCATATTTTCTTTAATGAGAAAAAATGAACAGACCATGACTTTTCTGAAAATAAATGTGTTATTGAAACACTTTCCGCCTTAGGTAGTGCGCATAAAGAGCTATATTATTATGAGGAAGGATTGATGATAAGGATAACTACAACTAATGAAGTTAAACTAGAATTTATTTATTTACATTATAATGAAAAGAAAAGGAAAAAGAATAATCATCAAAACATTTTGCACACGTCTTTCCTCACTATTGTTCACGTCTGATTTCATCTGACCACATCCTAATTTAGATGGCGCTCTTACATAATCTTAGTTACAATCTTAGTTCCCACATAATTCGGCCATGCAACATAGTCATCTGCCCTCAGATGACAAGAGCAAACTGTGAAATTTAAAATATAAAATAAAGTAAAATAATAATAATAATAATAATAATACTGATAACCTATAAATGAAAATACTAAATTAATACAGATAAATGGAAATAATATTCTATCTGGATCTTCTAATAACAGCACCTAGAAAAATAGAAAAATTAATAATTAGTAAACATAATAAAAGAAAATATATGGATAGGATTAAAGTCCAAAAGTGTAGAGCAGTTCATATGAGTAACTGTCTATAAAACACTAAAGTTCAGGTAATATGTTCTGATGAAGTCCAAGGCTTCATAAATTCAGCGCAAGTACTTACTTCTGACACCAAAATATGGGGAAGGATTGATGATGAGCATATTTACAACTCATGAAGTTAAACTAGAATTTATTTATTTACATTATAATGAAAAGAAAAGTGAAAAGAATAATCGTCAAAACATTTTGGACACGTCTGTCCTCACTATTGTTCACGTCTCATCTCATCTGACCACACCCTAATCCAGACGGCGCTCTTACATAATCTTAGTTACATTTACAGTTCCCACATTATATCAAAATGTAAGTAATGCTTGATATTTAAATTATTACCTTTATGCATTTTTATCTCGTTGGTAAGATTTATATTAACACTTTCAATCCCAAATTTAACCTTTTAATACTTCATAATCTACACTTAATATAAATTTCTTAGAATTTTAACAGCAAATCTATACATCGTATCCTATGTCAATAATCAAAAGTATAAATAATTATACGACGCATGATAAGCTGCAAACTTTAACACTCTATAAACACTAATTCTCGAATCTTCTAGTACATATATAAGATACAGTAATAAAAGAGAAACCATTGCCCTAAAATGAGTAAAAGACGGGAAATATTTGATTCTTACAGCACTCCATCTTTATATTTGAATATAATATTCCAGAGTCAACAGTTTATTTTGCATTCATTAATATAAGGGCTAAGGTTCAAGAAAACGGACATATTACGTTAGTCAGATGTTTACATTATTACGATTTATTGCTTTGATGAACAACGTTTTAAGAATTTCACTTTTTTCTGTGTATTCATGAAACTCGACGTAAATTTTGTGCACTTTCTGAATCTATTTTCGGTTTTGTACTTTAATTTCTTAACTCTAGCGTACTTTTTAAAGCTCTTATGCAATGCAATGTGTATATTTCCTACAATTCTCGTCATCAAAATCGTTTAAGGGTGAATTTTAGCTGACAAGGTGGGTTGAAATAATTGCAGGAAACAAATACTCACTTTTTTGTTTCATAAATAATAACAGTTTTTACCACTATCTTTAATTACATAATTACATTTTGTAATAATGTTTGAAGTCTTGTTTTAATGTTATGAACACTTTCTTTTTTTATTTTAAGAAAGGTAAAGGCCACCTTATTGTCGAAAAAAATGTTGTAGATTCCCAAGTACGAACACTTCATCGTTAATCAAGCGGAAATGTAGATTCAGAAAGCCGAAAATTCGAGACAATGCAAATCAAAATTAAACGAATCTACAAACACGTAAGCCGTAACGTTCCAACGAAATAAACTGCAGCAGTTAAAACGTCAAGTTCTCATCGAATTAGTTCCATAACATAGAGAAATAATTCCCTAGCCGTTACTACACGCAGGATTATTTTAACGGTTACGCGAGATAATCCTCAGTCCGCCGTTACTACCTACTGCTATAATAATTACGGATTTAAGCTTGCAGTGACAAGGAAATAAACCTGAATTGTTTCGAACATCCCCGTTTATATTGCTATTTTATTTTCGAAGGGTGCTTTCGAATGAATCTTTAGAAATAGAGAGTGTTCATACTCAGAACTTCTTTAAATCTTTGATATCTCCATCGTCTTAATGTAATAGATACGCTTTTGTGTGCTTCGACTGATGCTGGAGAACGTAAATAAGAAAGAAAATATTTGGAGAGAACAATAAAAATCTCTATTACTGCTTCAGCAAAAATGACTGTTACCTTTAAATACTTACCTAAAAACTATAAAGAATGTGACAATATACAGAGTGTCTCAGTAAATGTCATTAAACCTAATTATAACGCAAAACGCCGGATATAGGATAAATCAAATTGCAGTTTCTTTTCTTAGTCCGAATGAGTTATTACTCCCGAAATGGGATTTGGCAATGTATCGCTTGACTGAAATGACCTTTCAAATTGTTACTACGAAATATTATCGTTCTGCATTACTCTTAAAGAAATGAAATAATGAAAAATCTTCATGAATGTATGCATGTTTCTCGCAGTGTGAAAAAACCCCCGTACCTAAGGCCTTCCAATTTTGAACAACGTGGTCTTCCATTCGTACATGTGGCTAGAAGGCCGAAATTTATATTTCATATTTGTAAATGCGAGAGTATATATCGGAATTTCTGAAGATATGCTGTTTTTAAATATTTTGTTATTTTGTTATTCAACTGAATTTTATGTGGCGTAAATGCGAAGAACGCGATATTTAATTAATAAATTTAACGCGCAAAGCGTTCATAATAAAACGAAAAAAATAAAAGTAAGATTCTCACTGAGAAAAGTAAATAATCTTACTAACGAAACTGTACATTGGTGTGATAAACTGAGAAAAGACTCAACAAAAGAGAAAAAAGTATGCCAACACTTAACACTTCATCGGCAACTTAACACTTTATGACATTTTAAGACAACCTATAAACTCATTAATTTGAGATAATAAAATTTATGTTATTTCTATGTAAAAAACAATTTTTTATTGTTTTCATAATGTCTTAATATAAAAAAGATTAAACAATTTATAAAATACAACCTAATTTGAAACGTTTTTTCATAGTATTTTAAGGTGCTCTTACAAATGTAAAATTACGACACTGAAAAAGATTAAATAAGATTAAAATATTTATAAAAATAAAAAATAAAAATATAACTAAAAATTCATTTTTATGTTTTGCCTATTCGAGTTTTGCCTATTTGCATCAGCCTTGTTGTTTATAAAATAAAACTTACCATCAGAATTAAGCTTTCAAAACTGCTGATTATGCCGTAAATGTCACATGAATACTTTCAACCAATGACAACGCTTCTTACAAATAACCCAGCGATCTCTCTTGAATCACGTAATTCAGTAATGGAGAATACCAAATGTGCTAACCTTAGCTCAGACTGTGAGTTACCACTGATACATGGATTCCGTGATACGTGAATCACCTAGCTCTTGGTGAATACGGGGGTAACTTTTGTAACGTTCTATCTCCTAATTTTTTTTCTGTTCTTAGAAATTATGTGTTGAAACATTCCGAACATCTGCAGTTGCCAAAGAAGTTGATATTTTAAAAAAATTCGTAGCAATGGCAGGGAGCAATTTTGACGGTGAAATTTAAAGTATTCTCTGTCTTGGAAAGTGATCGATTTTTCAACAATTGGCATAGCGCTGGTTCTCCGATATGTTTTCTTTTATCCACAATCATTGCAAGGATCATTGTTCGGGCTGAGCCAAGAAAGCATTATGTTGAATTACTGGGTTGATGATTTATAGTAAATTCTCAGTTAGGTATCGTGATGTTTTAATAACTTCAAAAACTGACTTTGGACCGAAGGAGAAATTTTTGCTGCCTTTGGTTTTGAATCACAGATGCGTGCAGCAATTCAAAATAAAATGTATCAATTGCCTAATGTCATCGGTATGTTTTTCTAAGCTCAGTGTAGTCTGAGAACTCGATTTGCTGTCGTCAACCATCTTGAGTGTGAAAGAGGATTAGGATAATACACTATTAAATATTCTAAAATTGTACCTTACTTCATCGCATCAGAAATATCAAGTAAGTATAAATGATCCTTCCTCAACGCTTCCCGTCAACTTGATTAATCGAGAAGTCAACAAATTCAAAGCAAACCAGTGGAAGTTTTGCACAGCCAGTGAGTTTTTTCTCGATTGGTCCCCTGAAGGATTTGAGCCCTGTTTTAACACCATCCAACAGACGAAATAGGTGAAGGAACTGCAGTTGATATCTAGATGTGACTCTGTACTCTTTTTAATTTTTTTTTTAATTTAGACTCAATAAATGCCGTTATGGCTTCTGCAGGGTGGGCATCATACTGCAAGCGTTTGTTCCGGGTCAGTAGTCCTCCTTAGCAGTGTAAAAATAAAAAAAATAAATAAAAAAAAAAAAAAAAAAAGATTAATTGAAGTGTAGGAGACATATACCCCACTGCTGTGATTTCCCAACGTGCAGTTCCATCTGTTGTAAAGTACTATTTTTCAAACGTGTTCATTACACGCTCATGGCTTCCGATCATATGAAATTTTTCATTGGAAGAATCACATGAAGTGGGATGGAAAATTTTGGTAGAAACCATGGTTTTTCGCAAGTCCTGTAGAGGGAGAAGTATCTCCTATATATTCTATCCCTAGTTATTATAAAGGAAACAAAGGTCCTCCTTTTCCAATTCTTCGAAAACGCTTTTGAGTTATTTTTTACTTCCTTGTACGAAGTAAAAAGGATATATGTACGTACATAAGTAGCAAGGCAACGTCGTAACGACGTTGCCAAACTCGTCGCGGATGTCGATGCAAAACCGTTGCAATATGGCGTCTTTAAGACAGCCAAATGTCGGCGAAAGACCACTGTTTTGCATTCGTTGCAAAGACGTCTTTATAACGTCTTTGCAGATGAGGATTTTGTCGCCCAGACGTCGTTATTGCGTCTTTCTTAGGTTATACTTCGGTTGTGAAAGCATCGTATCACGACGTCTTAACGACGCCTAAATGTTCGCAGAATTCGACCTTTTTGCAACAGTTGTGAAACCGTCGTTATTATGTCCTTGTGTTATATATTGATTTATGCAGAAAAATAAGCTTAATAAATAATGTATTTTTCTTCTTTTTTTAAAATGTTGTATCATTTTATCATTTAAATTTATCATTTAAAGCAAAAGTTTAAATATTTTATCATTTCCTGAAAACCAGAAGATAATATAATTTTTTCACTTTAGAATACATATGCGTAATTAATAATAGCCTTAATTATTTTCCGTACTTTAAACTATATTTTTTTAAATAACTAAAATTCTAAGTTACGATTATTTAAGATTTTAGCATTTTTTCTTATTCCTTTAGTAAGCAAGTGAGAGTAATTACGAAAGTGTTTATTATAAATATATAACAATAATAGTAGGTTTTAAGTACATAAAACTCAATCAGACATAAGGAAAATCGCCCCTGTCATTATAAATTAGGAAGCATAAGGTAACATAATCTGTATTTTACCTGAACTCAAGTATAAATTTATTCGCGTTTCATAGTAAAAAATATAACCATTAAATTCTACATCTCCAAGATATGCAAATGGAACAC